AAAATATCTAGTATCTTTTCTAATTCTTTTGTCGTCATTTTTTTTTCAGCGAACACACTCTGTCTTGCGGGTCTTAGTTTTTGGTCTGTAGGTGGAATCACCTCTAAAAATTGCCTCTCTGACAGTCTTAGTGGAGTTGGTAAATTTCCAAGTCGACCTTTTCTTTCTCCTACGGCTGCAAGTCTTTTCAATCAGTCAATATTATCTAATCGAAACAGTAACTTTGTATCTTTACCGCCATGTTTTTTGCCCAGCACATAAGCGCCCCATAAACTGATGTCTAAAAGATGAAAATATATTTTTGTACTATTTCTTCCCCCCTTTTTTAATCACAGAATAAGTATTTAGGTTCTGGTCCATTCGACCTACACCGACCATTATGTTGTTGTACTCCATATACTACTCTCCGTTTTTGTTTTATACAAGACTCGTGCACATTTCTTAATTAAATTTCTTCAAAATTACTTAATGGAAAATAAGCAAGGACCATTAATGAAAAAACTAAGAATCCATTAACAAATGGGAATTGAATAAATTCATTAAAAAATATTAGCTATGCTTAAACTTTCCTTTTGTGATACCATCCCAAGAATAAAATAGATCTACAAGTAGAATGCATTATTATTAAACATAATTATAAAACAAATTTGAGAATAAAATCAACTTTACAAAATTTATCAGGTAGCATTATATATTTTTACCCTTATAATAGTTGGACATATTTGAAAGCAGATCAGTGACATTTCATTTACTTTTTACTTTAGCTTTATGTTGATTTTTTCTTTTATGTCTTATTTTGTCACCTACTTGCTCTTTAGAGGTTTAGTAAATAGCAGGTAGACTTTATGTCAAATGGCATATGTTAAAATAAGACGTAAAATCATAATCAGCATGATTCATTTCAGAAGAATGGCTGCTGTCACCACTGCTGCTTGTCTAGAGAGAGGCCTGCTGATCAGAACAAACCCGAAAGCCTGATGTAGGCACACCTGACAAGTTTTTGAAAATGAGTTGTTCTCTGCCTGTCTGATGCAGTCAGTGCCATAAATTCATGTAGAGTTCCTGAGGTTGTAACCCAGTTAATATACTTTAAGGTTCCAATAAGCCACTAAAGAACAAGAGCATATACATTTTTATTCCAAATCCAGAGTGTTTTAGTGTATATTGTTTCCAACTTAGTCTTCCTTTGTATAACATAAGACTCTCGTCTATAGTGACATCTCATTCAGGGGTAACAACTTCTTGGAACTGAGTTTTCAAATGCTTTGGCATGGGCCAGATTTAACTAATTTGGGGCACTCATAAGAATTTATGTCAGATTTTTCATCATTTGAAAAATGTAAATACCATCAATTAACTGGAAATGACGATATGACATTACTTTGGAAAAAAATGGTGCAGATGTAGAATGCCTCTTACTTCAATACTGCTCAACTACTGGCTTTTTTATACCACCTTGAAGACTAACCAAAGCAAAAAAATACTGTATTTTATCTTTCAATGTTCGTTCCTATTTTTTTTCTTCTAGAATGCCTACTAAATACACTATTTTGCATGCACTGCTCAGCATATCTATTTGTTTGGAAAAGAATCAGGTCTAGCACATAATCATCCATGAAAGCTTCATAAAACGGAAGTTTACTGTTAGCTATATCAATATTCAAGTTAATTTTTAGATTTCAAATGAAAGCAGATCTAGGAGGTGGAGCAACTAGGAGGCATAATGCGTTCCTACGTTTCTACGCATGCGTCAACGCATAATGCGTTCATGCATGCGCGTAATACTTTTATGCATGTGCATTTGTGTTTGCGCATAATACGTTTATGCATGCACGTTTAATGTATAACGGACGGTATAAGCTAAGCTAAAATTATCTAAACAATGCAGATTGCGTTGTTCCTTAATCTTCAAATTGGATCCAGCTTATTATTTTTTTGCAGACTGTTAGAGCAATTTTATAAAAGTAAGCATGAACTTTCGATTATGAAAAAAAAGAATTTCCGATTCCAAAGCTACAAGAGGATCTACAAAACGAAAGCATGTTCTGATGTCCATCAAAAAAAAAAAAAGTGGAATTGCTGCAAAAAATGGATAAAGGCATATCTTTTGTTTCTCTAACCATTCCGAAATCTGTTTATCAATTTCACGCTGCTCTGGGGGGGGGGATGAACTGGAAGTTGATCTGTCAGCACTATATTCGGCTTATAATTCCTTACTGAATGTAGTATTTCATCTTGATGTACTCCGTCTTTGACATGATTTAAAATAGTTTTCAGGTTGAAATTTTCTAATTTCAACTATGCGTAATGTATGCTTTATGCATGCACATGTTGAAAGAAATGTTTAATAAAGTAAACATAATAAATATTCAGCTTTTTTTTTTTTTTTTTTTTTTTTTTTTTTTTTTTTTTTTTGGTAAATTTTGATACCTTTAGATCATAATTGCTCTTTATTTCATAAATTACGGTTTCATATTTTTAATTTTATAATTTCTGCATGCCATCTTACCAGATTTAAACTGATGATCTATAATCCGGAAAAACCAAAATCCGGATTCGCCAAAGTCCAGACGAGTCCGGATTAAAGACTTTTGACTGTATCTGTTTGTCATCTTTTGTGGTAAGTTATCTTCATTTCATATTTCTTTTAGATCACCCATTTTCAAGTATTATGGGTTACTGCGGTTTGTTTACATTTGGCCACTTAAATCTATTCTATCATTGCATTTTGGATATTATAACATTTAATGCCGTATTTTCTCACATTTGGTGCCAACCCCCCAAAAAAGATTAATAGGCTTTAACTTAAGGTTGAGAACCTAAATACTTGAAATAAATAATCATAATTCTTTTTTCAATTCACGTTGTGAACTTAAGATGAAGAGTGTGATCTATTATTATTTGCTGCACATGTGATATAAATTAATGAATTATTTTTAAGTATATTTTAAGATATATGTAAGATATTTAAATCAGGAGTAAATTTAAATAACATTGGATTGTGGTATATAGTGAAAATAATGATGCATATAAGTATATAAATAACAAATTAAAAACAATGTTTGATCGATTCCTATTGCACTGAGTGATTTCATACATGGGAGAAATGTGTTAAAGCATATTATAAACTGAAAAAGAAATTATCAAAATTTGTTATCCTTACAGTAGTAACAATGAATACAAAAGAGGGCATAACAATCATTTAAACTAGCTACGGATTCTTGCCAGAGATATGACACGAAATTTAGATCCCTTGGAAGGATCCGTAAAGACTGGGGGCATAAAAAATATTTCAACAAACAAAAATACATATAAAAAAAGGATTGAAGGAAATAGTAATCAATTCCAAAATAAATTAGTAGAAAATAAGAGAAATGAAAATAAAAATGTTACCAAATTGTTGTCTTGTAGCTCTGAAAATTCTAATTATCTACCTATAATTAAAGTTAAAATTGGTTCTCAGACTTATGAAGCTCTTCTTGATACAAGTGCTAATTTGTCTTTGGTTCAGCCAGATGTTATTGAGAAAATTAAACAGTTCTCTAAAGTTGAATTTGTTTCTCGTATGGTCAGAATAAAAACAATTGAAGATTCATCTATTCCTTACATGTCTGTAGTTAATTTAAATTAAAAATAAATGGTTTACTAATTTATTTTATGTTACTTAAAACAATTGGAATTTCATGTATCAGATGATTCTTGGGTATGACTTTATTCAATGTAACAGAATTTGTTAGATTAGTAAATAAGAAACTCATAATTGATAACACTCAGCTGGACTTTGAAGAAAATTCTCCAAATAAAATAGTAACTTATTCAGTTAACAATGCAAAAAAGAAAAATTGCTGTTTAAATGCAGTAAGAATGGTTTCTAACATAACTGTCATGCCAGGTCAATCTCAGATCATTTCCTTGGCTGTACCTGAGGTCTTAAAACAATTCAAAGAAATTTTACTTTGTTCAAAAATATCAAATAATAGATTTCACATCAATGAATCTCTGCACACAGTTGGTCGTTACAACCATATTCAAACTATCACTGAAAATAATACCAATGAAAAATGAATTTTAAGAAAGAATTCTGTCATGGGAACTGCTGTGCCATTCTATTTTGAGGATATATTGAGTCCAAAAAATCATGAAACATTACAAGTCAATACACTAAATCTTCAAGAAGTAATTAAACTCAAAAAAAGAAGAATTAAATGTATCAGATTTTAAACTAGATCATTTAAATGAAAAAGCAAAAGGTGAAATAATAGAATCGTTAATGAATAACTATGCTGTATTTTCAAAGTCTTATAACACTTTAGGGTCCACTGATAAAGTTGTGCCAGAATTTAAACCCCTTCATAATTTTTCTATTCAGACAAGACCTCATCCCATTCCTAAAATTGGTAAACAGTATGCACAACAAGAAATTGCAAAACTATTAGAGGCAGGAATAGTTGAACCATCTTCTTCCAGTTATAGTTTTCCTGTTATATTTGTCAGAAAAAATAATTTACCTGGTGAGGATAAAAACACACCAAAATTTCATATGGTTGTAGATTAATGTCTATTAACCCTTTGACAGTTTAATTTTTTTCGAGAATTCGGTCAAAAAAAGTCACAATTTTTTATTGCATTTTTTTGTTCATTTTACATTTTTAAGTAAAGATATGTTATTAAAATTAACATTTCTAATATTTTTAAGCATTTATTACAACTTTTTTCTTTAATGAAAATAATCAATTTTCCCTGCAAGTTTTTTTTTTTTCCTACATGAATGCAAAACAGGGAAGTTACATTTACAATTAAAATAGTACAATTACTTAACAGATATTTTCGATTTTAATTCAATTACATTTACTAATATGTTTTGATACAAAACATACTTACCCTTCTTTTTTTAAAGATCTGATTTAGTGTGATATATCTTAAAGCAAGGCGACTGGCACAGTCCAACATCACAGTCTGGGCAAAAATACCTTGTCTCTTTTCTAATTCTTTTGCCGTTGTCATTTTTTTTTCAATGAACACACATAACACTGTCTCGCGGGTCTTAGTTTTTTCTCTGTAGGTGGAATAACCTCTAAAAAATGTCTTTCTGTTAGTCTTAGTGGAGTTGGTAAATATCCAGGACGGCCTTTTCTTTCTTCTACTGCTGCATGCCTTTCAATAAGTCGATTGATAATTTCTAATCGAAACTGTAAATTCGTATCTTTACCACCGTGCTTTTTATACAAAACATAAGCGTTCCATAAACAGATATCTAGAAGATGAAAAAATATTTTTTTGTAGTATTTCTTTCCTTGTTTCTTTATTACAGGATAATTACTTAGGTTCTGATCCATTCGATCTACACCACCCATTGTGTTATTATACTCCATAACTACTTTAGGTTTTCGTTTAATTTCATTCGTCGAAGTAGATACTTGAACCATTTCCGGATTATGTATTGTAGATATGAGAGACACAGCTTTTTTGTCCATCCATTTCATAATGCACACTTTTCCTCTCTGGTAAGCAAGCATTTGCCCTTTTTGAAGTTTTTTTGTCAACAGTGCTTTAGGAACTCCCTTTCTTTGAAGTTTTAATGTTCCGTACATATCTGTACAGTAACTAATGAGGATATATGCTATTTCAGGAGATAAATAAAAGTTGTCAGTTGTCAGACAGTATCCTTTAAGTAAAAGTGGTTGCATAAGTGTAATAACTACTACCTGCGAAGATTTGCTCAAATGTTTGTAACTTTCATCAAACACAGTTCCTTTTCCGGTGTATATTATCATAGACCATACATATCCAGACTTCAACTCACAAAGCATGTACAATTTTATTCCGAAGCGTGATCGCTTTAGAGGAATACACTGTTTCCAACTTAGCCTTCCTTTGAACAACATAAGATTCTCGTCTATGGTAACATCACGTTCAGGGATGATCATTTCTTCGAAACGAGTTTTTAAATGCTTTAGCACGGGCCATATTTTTGATAATTTTGGACACTCATGAGAATTTATGTCAAAATTGACATTATCTGAAAAATGCAAATAACTGTAAATTAATTGAAAGCGGCGATATGACATCACTTTTGGAAAAAATGGCGTGGATGTTGAATACCTCTTGCTCCAATAGTGCTCAACAACTGGCTTTTTTACAATACCTTGCAGAATATTCAAAGCAAAAAATACATGTAATTCATCTTTCGATGTTGATGTCCATTTTTTGCTCCTGGAATGCTTACGAAGTGTACTGTTTTTTATGCATTGCTCAGCATATCTATTTGTTTCGAAAACAATCAGGTCAAGCAAATAATCGTCTATGAAAGCATCATAGAACTGAAGTTTACCTTTAGTCTCATCGATATCCAAGTTAATTTTGGAATTCCAGTGAAAGCAAATCTAGGAGGCGGATCCGAAGGATTATCACAACTAATTTCAAAAAATTGTCTTGCTTGACTGATTTCATCTGTATCAGAGTCACTACTATCCAGGTCATCTAGTAAACTTTCGCTACTATCATTTACAGATAATTCAGTTTCTGATTCCGAGTCACAATTCGAATCACAAGAAATTAGCTCCATACGCTCTGAATTATCCATTATTTAAAAGTAAAAATATATTATTCAACTCTTACATCAATACAATTATCAGGCGGTTAGTAAAATATAACCAGAAAGCTATACACTGAAAGATAACAATTCGTCTTCTGTTATAAAACATGCGAAAAAACCCGCGCTCTTGAACCAATCAGACAATAAACTGCAAACTATCATTTACTGGACAACTATCGCCATCTGTACGAATAATTTGTTACTAAAATTGGAAAAAATACGGCCGAAACAGTGCAAGCGAAATAGAAATCAGATTGCACGTACGCCATACGGGCAAATCAGTAAAGGTCCGAAAGCTGTGCCCGTACGGCGTACGGGCAAAACAGGGAAGGGGTTAAACAGCATTACAGAATCATACAAAATCTGTTTACCAAAAATTTCTGAAATTTTACACAACATTGCTGGTAGGAATTTATATTGTGTACTTGACTTGAAATCAGCCTTTTTCCAAATTAAGTTACAAGACTCTGATAAAGAAAAGTTGGCATTTTGCACCGAACTTGGTAGTTTTCATCCTTGTAGACTTCCGTTTGGGTCACACATAGCGTGGTTTCTTTTATTTCTCACATTTCGTAAAAGCCAAATAAACAATTATTGAATACAATTACCTTCACGTATAAGACTGTGTCCTTCATGTATAAGACGAAGGTAGCCTTTTTGAGACTAAATTTAGGAAAAAAAGTGCGTCTTATATGCCGTCAAATACAGTAATTCTTCAAAAGGTTTTTGATAGGCTAAAAGCATTTAATTTGACTAAAGTGCAGCTATGCAAATCTGATATAACTTATTTACGTTTTAACATTTCCAAAGCAGGTTTTTCTCCTTCTGAAGATAATATAGCAAAGGTTTCAAAATTCCCTATTCCAAAAGATGTTAAACAAGTTCAAGCTTTTCTTGGAATGATGAATTATTTTAGGCATTTAATCCACAATTTTGCTGAGATTACTCAGTCAATAGTACACTTGACTAAAAGAAATGTACCCTTTGTTTGGAATCAAAATTGTCAAGATGCTTTTGATCTATTACAATCAATAATGTTGGAAAAGCCAACAATAAGAAACATTAATGATAATCATGAGATTTTTTTAATTACTGATGCGTCTAAAGTAGCAATTTGTGGTATTCTTTTGCAAAAAATTGATGACAAATTCTTTCCTGTAGAATTTTATTTGAAACTTCTTACTTTTGCTGGGTCTAGATATCCCATCAATTAGATGTGAGCTCTATGCTATATTTTCATCTGTGAAACATTTTCATGAACATTTGTATGGGAAAAAATTTACTATTTTAACTGCTGCTAAACCCCTCACTTCTCATATGCAATTGGATAAGCAGCCTGATATTGTTGCCAGATGGTTATTGTATTTACAGGATTTTGATTATACTTTAAAGCACATACCTGGTTTTTCTAATCCTGCTGATTTTCTTTTGAGAGTTCCAGAAGAATCTCATAATGTAAACAATATCAACTTATTTCAACCAAAAAATAATCAGTTAAGCATTCAAAATATTGTTAATCACCAAAAAGATGATAACATCATTAACGACATCATAAGCAAAATTACCAATAATTATTCTGAGATTTGTAGCAAATATTTTATTGATCAGAAAAAAGGTTTAGTAATGATTAAGTTAAGACCTAGAGCACATCATTTAAAGACAAGGCATTTAGAAAACAAAATTCTACTTCCAAATTCTTTAGAAAAACCGTGTTTAGAGATTGCTCATGCTCCACATTTTGGTACCAACAAGACTTATGACTTCATAAAAAAGAAATATTTCTGGAAGGGCATGTTTTTAGATACAAAAAAACTTTTTTGTGAAAATTGTCAACAATGTTTGGAAAACTAAACCAAATCTTCTAGAACAGTCACAAGTAATATAAAGAAGTCTGATTTAGCCCCTGGAGATATGTTAGCAATTGACATTATAGGTAAATTACCCAGGTCACATGATGGTAAATTTTTCATTTTAACAATTATTGATCATTATTCGAGATATTTAGAGGCTATTCCTTTAACCAATATTACTTCTGCAACAATCATAAGATGTATGAATCTGTATTTTTCAAAATTCGATATTCCAAAGATAATATTATCTGACAATGGTCAAATTTTTCTTCGGCTGAATTTGAGAATTTTTTAAAAGATTTAAATATTGAACACAGAAAAAGTTCCATTTATTACCCACAATCTAATGGGATCATAGAACGAGTTCACAGAACTATGAAAGAAAGCATAGCTTCTTTATCTAATAAGGTGTTTGAATGGTGAGATAGACTGGCATTTTTAAAACTGTTTTACAATAATTCAAAACACGTTGTAACAGGTTTCACTCCTGCTCAGTTATTTTTTGGGCGAGAACTCAATACACCTTTAGACATAAATAATGAACCACATGTAGTAGACAATCCTTCAAAATACTTGTTGCGTCAAAAGGAACACATTAAAGCCACTAGAGAATTAGTGAAACTAAATGAAGAGAAGTGTTTTCAGACTCACGATAAAGTTGTGAAAGGCAGAGAAAGGCCAAAATTTAACATTGGAGACAAAGTATTTTTAAAGGCTTTACAACCACCTCATGTTTTACAGCCAAAATACACTAATCCTTTCAAAATCGTAGAAATTTTTCAAAATGAAAATTATTTAATTCAAAATATCACTGAAAACGAAACAAAAAATTCATCGAAGTAAAATATTTAAAAGAATTCCTCTGAGGTCAAATTTAACTAATTAAAAGCATTGTTTTCATCAAGCCTGTTTTTCTTGTTCACTAAGTAAAAAAAATTATTAAAGAAAGAAAAAATTCATACGTTTTGTGTTTGTTTATGAATATAGTGGATTTAGTTCCAATTTTTTTTTTTTTTTTAGTTTCTTGGTTAGTATGGGTGTAGGTTGGCCATCTTCATTTATACGTTTGGTCAGTAGTTTCCAGCCTGCAACTACTGACCAAACTGGCTGGTCCAGGTTGACTAAAGTCATGGAATTAAAAAAAAAAAAAAAAAAAAAGAGAGAGAGAGAGAAAGAGAGTAAGAAAAAAATTCTAGAACACTTTGCGGTTATTACAATTATCCAGCTAGCAATGAAAATTTTCCTATTTTAAGAATTTGAGTAACTTAGAATAACTAAGTTGTAAAAGAAAATTGTAGAGTAATCATTCTTACACATTTACAAAAATTATAAGAAAAAAATTGATGGTATTTAAAAAGAGTTGATAAAAAGTGATATGATTTGAAAATTGTTAAGGAAGAGATATTATATTGATCACGAGTTGTTAACAACAGTGAAAGATTGTATGAAATATGAGATATATTCAGTTACAAATGTAATGCGCCTACAGATTGTAGTGAAGTTTTATGCTAATGTATGTGAAACATGTATTGCATGTATTAGTTCTCAGTTTTTATTTTAATTTACCTCACATGTGTAGCAGCTTATCCCAAAAATTGTTTTTTATATTTATGCCAGACAATGAGATTTTGATAATTTAATATTTGATCATAATTTGGATTATGCCAAACAGATATATTTTGATTAAGTCAACATGTGCTCACTTCAAATGTATAACAGATCTTAAAATTCTGATTTACGTAATTTCAAATATACCAAGTTTCATCTGCAAATTAGTGTTGTGCTTCATCAAGGTTTATGATATTGTGAACCTGTGCTACGTTCTTCTTTGGCCGGAGGGAATGTGCAGGCAAGCCTCCACATTATTCAGCGTCAGGTGAGCTAACTGCAACCATCGAATGACAAGGCGAAATTGATTGCAACAACCGGTTTCTCCCTCTTCTGCTGCGGGGGTCCGAATGTAGAACGGCCACTGGCTGTCCTCACCCTGGCCGATGCGATGTGCCATTTTCTTCTTTCATGGCTGTTTCCTTAGATGCTGTCTGCTGATACAAGAAAATCCTTTTCAGTGAGATTTTTAATTCAAGATTCAACAAAATAATTACTCCAGTTTCCTATACATCATTGCAGAAAATAATTTTGTTTAGCTCCTTCCTCCTTTCGAGAAATCTTCATGTGCGTGTGCTTATGAGATCTGAAATTTCCTGACTTAAGAAAAGGCAATCAGTGGCGTAAATAAGAGTATGCAAGGAATGCTGTTGCATGGGGGCCCTTAAATAACCTGCTGAACTACATTTACATCATTAAACTTAGAAGACGAATACTATTATATATATATAGAAGTTTAATTCATTTTCCTATGATGAGTTCGAAATTGGAGTTTCAATAAAAGAAGATTAATTAATATTTTTATATTTTTTATCTTGTATTTTTTTCCTTTTTGCTTTTCAGTTTTATTTTTAGAATTTGTACTACTACAAAT